GCTAATTTTTTCTATGTATTTTTAGCTGTCCAGTTAATTTCTTTCTATTTTTGGCAGAGACGGGGGTCTCGCTCTTGCTCAGGCTGGTCTCGAACTCCTGAGCTCAAACAATCCACCCGCCTCAGCCTCCCAGAGTGCTAGAATTACTGGCGTGAGCCACCGTGCCCGGCCACATTACTTCTGAATATAAGGAAGAAGAGAAGAACTTTCCAAAGTAGAATTGTTTCAAACATGTAGAAATACCACTAGAGGTGTTGATATAATCTTCTCATCATTTATAACTAATTATCACAGGACACAGTAATTATTAGGATTAGCCTAAAATAATCAGAATAACTTGGTTTTAAATTTCTTTTTATTAGTAAAAATTCAATATGCTCAGCCTTCATTGTTTATAACATGGACATTCATTCACGGAAGAAGAGAATCTTGCTTAGGAAAGAATGAAATTATAATTCTTCTTAATCAGCTATGTTTGGTATGTTTTATAGCTGAATTCCACCATCCCATGAATTGATAATCAGAATATAAATCAGGTACATTTAAGGACTTTTTTAGAAAGATAAATTATATTCAACTTTTTTTCCCAATGTTTTATTATGACAATTTTTGAACTTACAACAGAGTCAAAAAGAATTTTGTAGTGAACACCTATATGTCTACTACCTAGATTCTACCATTAATATTTTATTACGTTTTTTATCATATATTTATCCATCTGTCCATCTTTTTATACATCCATCAACCCATAATATTCAAATACTTTTGTATTTGAAGAGATTTGGGCTATATGTTGTTTGTTTATTTTAGATCAGTTTTATTTTTCCTTTATATAATAGCAGATAATTCTTGGGAATGAATTATAACTGATCTATAATGTTCTGACAACATTTGGATTTCAGATTTAAATAAAGTTGTTTGTCTTTCCTGTTCCTGGTTCCGAAAGATGAGTCGTGGATATTCAGAAAACAACAATTTCGTGAACAATAACAACCAAATGGTGTTGGACATGATCCTTTATCCATTAATTGGAATCCCTCAGACCATCAACTGGGAAACAGTAGCAAGGCTCGTGCCAGGATTAACACCCAAAGAGGTAAATAACAGTCCCCCAGATATCTCCTGAAAAAAATCAGAAAAGGTGATCAGGAAATAATCAGAAAAGGTGTTTAAAGAAACAACCACTAAGAGGAAAAAAACTATTTGAGGTTTATATATTCATATGCATGTTAATACTGTATGTACATATCTGTATTATTTGACTAGATGCAAATTATATTCATTATATATTAATGCATTGACTGCCACACTGGAAAAAAAATTTTTCCCCAAAAATTTTGGGGCCATGGTATTTTATTACAAAAATAGAATAAAAACTTTGAAAGCAAAACAGTTCTTTCTAATTTAATGAAAAATTTTTGTATTGTTTTCTGTGTTTTTTCAATAAAAATGTAATATAAAAACTTCAAAATTAGTAATGTAAAAAGTAATCTAAAACTTGAGAAATAGTTCATAAGGGTTAAGTATTTTTCTTGACTCATCAGGCTTAAGTGTAATTTAAAGGGAAACAAATAGAAAAATAAAATTTATTGACTTCTATTCATTTAATCCACATTTTTAGAATTAAATTGTCAGTATTAATTGTAACAGTAAGAACATCAACAAGTAAGATTTTTATGAACTAACTATAGGGTTTTGCCCAGGGGGCCACCCATCATGTAACATGTATGTTACAGCATGGCAACCTGAGCCACCATGTGACTCCCAAGGTAAAGAGATGTGTGAATTATATATGCTTCATGAGGCCCCAGGCTCAAACCTAGCATGAGTTAAATACAACTCACATGGCAGTTAATGTGTTAGCCCACTTGCTATTTTTAAATTTGACCTCATCATATATGTTTATAACTGAAAAGTCACTAATATCTTAATTTAAGCAAAATAAGTGTTCCTGTAAAATTATGGGTAGATAAAATTTTTATAAAGCAGATTATATGTTATTAAATCCCTAATGCTGTGTTTCTCAAACTTAAGTAATATCGAAACCTTTTTAAAGGAAAAAACTTGGAAACTCCCAATGATGACTTTAATTATTTTTATTATGATATAAATTAAATAGGCACTAATAATACTAGGTATAAACACACTTCATACAACTGTAAACCAAATTTATACACTACAGACATAAATGAACACTAAAACCAACACAATTCAAACTAATAATGCTAACTTAATGTGATGAGTAATAGTGGTTTTGCTGAAATTAAATTGCTAATTTTAACACAAATATTATATGTATAGTCTGTTGTGTCATTCTTTTGCATTGCCATGTGCCTTTCAGAGCCTTCTTTTGCCACTTTTCTCTCAAAAGCATTTTTTTTTTAAGAGACAAGGTCTCGCTCTGTCACCCAGGGTGGAGTACACTGGTTGCGATCATCGCAACCTCAAATTCCTGGGCTGAAGCAGTCCTCCCACCTCAGCCTCCCAAGCAGCTGGGACTATAGGCACACAACACCACATCCAGCTAATTTTTTTATTTTTTGTAGAAACAGGGTCTTGCTGTGTTGCCCAGGCTGGTCTTGAACTCCTGGCCTTGAGCAATACTACCGCCTCAGCCTCCCAAAGTGGTGGGATTACAGATGTGAGCCATGGCACCACATGTGGCCAAGTCTTTATTATTTTACTAAAGAAAATCTAGTGTCACCAGTCAGATACACTTTGGTTTGCTCTCCACCGAAGGTTAGGATTTGGTCTTATTCCTGGTGGAATCTCAGTTAATATAAAAATAAAATCCAAGTTTTTAACTAAATTATTAAAAGTATCAGGTGTTAATAGATGCAGAGCAAAAGAATATATGGTTGACGAAGGCAGTCTTCATCTTTTTTTTTTTGAGACAGAGTCTCACTCTTTTGCCTGGGCTAGAGTGAGTGCTGTGGCATCATCCTAGCTCACAGCAACCTCAAACCCCTGGGCTCATGCAGTCCTCCTGCCTCAGCCTCCCAGGTAGCTGGTACTACAGGTGCATGCCATGATGCCCGGCTAATTTTTCTATTTTTAGTAGAGACAGGGTCTCTCTCTTGCTTAGGCTGGTCTGGAACTCCTGAGCTCAAGCAATCCTTCCACCTCCGCTTCCCAGAGTAGTAGGATTACAGGTGTGAGCCATTTCACCCAGCCTCCAAACCTCTATTTCTTTCATTTTATATCATGACAGTGTGCAAAAAGGTTTGATGAACTGAAGAGCAGTGGAAGCTCACCTGTTGACAACCAGTATAATCCCCTAATGGCTGCTGGAGAGAGTCCTGTTGAAACTTTAGCCACATATATCAAATCATCGCTTCTTGACACACAGGGAGAATTTCAGGAGACACCAGTTGGTCAGGATGCAGTTTCCAAAACAGGTAAGACTTTAAAGTATAGCACTTGTCCTTATGATGATTCTGCAAAATATTATGTATTCCAATCAACTTTTCTTTCTTTGTTTAAAGGTTAGTATAAACATTAAAGAAAAATCTATTAGTATTTGTATCTTCCTGAATTTTAAAAATTATATTTATCTTTGCTATATTTAAAAATTTTTAAGTGTTAATATATAGTTCAGACACTGTCATTGAAAAAAATCAAAATTTTCTACTCTAATCTATTAACCTAGTTCTCTAATCTATTAATGTAGTTATTTCATATTTATTACTTATTATGAATATTATTTTACTTTAAAGGGATTTGCATTATACCTTTTTTTTTTTTTGGAGACAGAGCCTCACTCTGTTGCCCCAGCTAGAGCGCAGTTGCCTTATCATAGCTCACTGCATTTCAAATTCCTGGGCTCAAGTGATCCTCCTGCCTCAGCCTCCAGGATAGATGGCACAATAGGCATGTGCCACCATGCCCAGCTAAATTTTCTGTTTTTAGTAGAGATGGGGTCTCACTCTTGCTCAGCTGATCTAGAACTCCTAACCTCAAGTGATCCTCCCTCCTCAGTTTCCCAGAGTGCTAGGACTACAGTTGTGAACCACCTCACCCAGCCAGCACTATACCCTTTACTTCTGTGGTTCCCAACCCCCAGGCCATGGACTGATACCAGTCTGTGGCTTGTTAGGAACCAGGCCACACAGCAGGAGGTGAGCAGTGGGTGAGTGAGCGAAGCTTCATCTGTCTTTACAGCCACTCCCCATTGTTCGTGTCACTGACTGAGCTCCGCCTCCTGTCAGATCAGTGGCAGCATTAGATTCTGCATTATGGTGAGTTGTATAATTATTTCATTATATATTATAATGCAGTAATAATAGAAGTAAAGTACACAATAAATGTAATGCATTCGAATCATCCTGAAACCATCCCTCCCACCCGTCTGTGGAAAAATTGTCTTCCATGAAACCAATCCCTGGTACCAAAAAGGCTAGGGACCTCTGCTTCACTAATGTTTTTTTTTCCCTGAGAGCACCTTGCTTGTCTCTTAGGTTTTTTTATAGCTGCTCTTTTTTTTTTTTTTTTTTAAGAGACAAGTGTCTCACTGTGGTACTCAGGCTGATCTTGAAGTCCTGAGCTCAAGCAATCTTCCCAGACAGCTGGGAATACAGGCAAGCACTGTTGTGCCCAGCCTACAGCCACTCTTTATTGCAGTCAACAAGAGCTTCAAATGACACAGTAGCAGGGCAAAGAGTTGTTTTCTGCAATTCCATTGGAAATAATAACTGGTTTTAGAAATCCTCAGGGTGTAGTGAGTTATTGTAATCTCAGCAGAGTGTTGATATAAAAATTCGCTTCAGGAAAAGAAAACTATGATGTTGGCTTTTGAACATTTGACCCATATTTGTACACACTGCATCAGTATTTTTTGAAATCTTCCATTGTAATATTATCAATTTGTGATTCGTATTTTTTGTACGGTTTCTTCCTCATACCTTCAGAAATATTAAGGGAAAAATGCCACCTTACAAGTACCACCTTTAACTACCCTTGGAAACCATGCATTTACAGTATTACCATTCAATAAGTAAAAACCCATTCTCAGCTAGAAATGCTAACTCCCCCCCTTTTTTTTGTATGTGTTTGTTTCTGTATTTAAGGAAGACATAGTATAGCTTCCACAAGGAATTGTTCTTCAGAAAGTGAAAATTGTACTACTCGTAATGGTGGAGAAAAGACTGAAGAATCTGAAGGGTAGGAGGCTGGTTGTTTGCTAGATAAGATTTAATATTAATATCAACATTAAATTATAAAATATATGATTGATGATTATATGCATCAGTTACCATAATTTAGGAATTTCACATTACACAATTGCTGAAACAATTGGAATCAGCTTGGTTCATGTGTTGAACTATAAATATACCTAAACATATGGCTTGCTCATGTTATTATTTATAAATTGGACTATATTTTCCTATTTTAAAAAACTTATTTTTATATTTGTAAATATTAGAAATAATATCTATTAACATAAAACTTTGAAAAGTACATTTTAAAACCCAAAGAGAAATCTCTATGCCA